CATTCTCTTGTTCACTACCTGGCATTATACGTATTTTGCCTATTGTCTGCCTTGAAGCTTGCAACAGAAGCTGCCTGAGGACAGGGGTACCTGGTTGTTTTGTTCACCAATGTATACCCCACACCTAGAACAATCTGTGACACACACCAGAAACTCGATATTCTTTTTTTTTTCTTTTAAAGTAAATGAATGAATGCATGAAAAATGAATAAATGAAACCCACTCTTTCTCTCAGGTCCCTTCTCAGGAACAGCCCCGCCAACTACTCTGGCACCTCTGACAAGGACCTGGGCCGCATCCTGGCCCCTCCCACCTCCTCCCCACCTCCACCACTGCCACTGAACCCTCCCAACAGCCCTGTCCCAGGTTGGGCACCTCCTCTCCTTCCTCCTTGGTCTCTGGGCTCCGGTATCACCTCCTCCCACTCAACACCACAGAGCAGCCAGGGGGCTCTTCCTAAAAGGCTGTTCTGACCTGATCCTGCTCCTGCTCAAAGCCCTCCAGGGTTCCCCAGTGCCCTCGAGAGAAAGTCCAAACTCTCAACCTGGCTGCCAGGGTCAACATTCCTCCACTGACCTTCCAAACTTTAAGCTCCTGGTTTCTGCACAAATTGTTCCCTCTGCTTGAAACACGTTCGGCTCTTCTTTTCAGTTGGCTAACTCACCCCCTTCAGGTGTCAGAATCTCCTCCTCCAGGAAGCCCTCCCTAATATCTGGGTGGGTGAAGAGCCCCTTCTGGGCACCCCCCCAGACCTCTGAACTCCTGCAGCCCAACCCAGCCCACTCTGGGTCATCACTGCCTGAAGAACGGTCGGTGATCTCACTGGACTGTGAACTCTGGACTGTGAAGTCTGGAATGACCTCAGGGCTGTCTCAGTCATAGCTATATCCCCTGCCACACTCAGCCTAGAGCCTGGCAGTGAAGACCCTGGTGAGTATTCATGTATGAATGATGGAATGATGGAATGAAGGAAGGAATGGCAGGCTAAGGCCTTTGGCTTTTATCCTGAGAGTGATGGGGAACCATGAAAAGGTTTGAAGGAAGGGAGAGGTGAGGGAAACTCACTGCGGGGAGGAGAGGGGATGGGGTCTCCCAGGGCGGGGCTAGGGCACCTGGTAGCGCCGGATGAGGGCCTCATTTTTTCGCCGAAGAGCCTCGATCCTCTTGTCCAACTCAGCATCCTTCTCCTCCTTCGATTTCAGATCCAGTGTGGCTGACTGAGAGGAGGAGACAGTTGACAAACAGTAAGAAAAACCTATACCCAACCCAGCACCATTTGATCCAGGGTCTGAGTCTTGGGTCCCCTCCTCCCAAGCCCCCTGACCCAAAGCTCAGATTCGAGACCCCACTTTCCATCTCACCATTCCACTGGCAAGGTGGTGCCAGGGTCCCAGCAAACTTCCCCTGTAGAATGTGGACACAGCACTGGGGGTTCCTGAGGGCAGAGGGAAGAGAAGGACTAAGGCCAATGCCTCCCCAATCTGCTTCCATCTCACCCATACCAGGGACTCCTCTCAAACATACATGCACATAAACACCACCAGCTGCACCCCCAAGAAAATTCTAGCCCTGGCTCCCACTCCCTCTTCTTGTGCGAGCCCAACACTTACCTGGAAAAATTTACATTCCACCACCTCCCAAACATTTGTGCCCACCCATTCCGTACTTAAACACTAGAGTCGCACCCTCCTTGGGAAAGTTCTGGTCCTACCCTACAGCTTAAGGAAACATCCAACACTGCTCCCTTCCAAAAGAAGATTCTAGCCCAGCCTCCACACCCCGGTGCTGGGAGTTTCAATCCAGGCCTCCATCTCCAGAGAGCTTTAGATACATCCTCTTGCCCCCCCCCCATCTGTACAAGAAGATTCTAGGCCCACCTTTCTGTGCCCACTCTGGTGCCACTCCATCCCCGTGAACACTCTAAACCCACCTCTTTCCCAGGAACGGTTCAAAATAGCCCCACACAAAAACAAGCTCGAACCCTATGCCTACAGGTTGCCCCGACCCTGCGAGAACACTTTAGACCCACGCCTCTCTCTGGGATGTCCTAGCCCCGCCTCCAACATCCCGAAAAAGGTACCACTGCTTCCCCAACAACCCCGCAAAGATTCCGAAAACAGGCCCGGTGCCCACTGGCGAGGCTTCCTGGGCCTGGCTCAACCTTCCCAGGGAATACTCTACCCGCCCCGGCGCGGACAAAACTTCCCGGCCCGGGCGCGCCTTTGCAGGGAAAAGCTCTAGCCTCTACCGCGTCCGGAAGGCACGGCCCCGCCCCACGCCAGAACCAACTTTCTCGCCCCGCCTCTCCCGCTAGACCTCCGACCCCGCCCACACGCGCGGCGTTAATCTGACCCCGCTTCCGACTTTCTCAGCCTATCCCCCGGCCCCGCCCCTGGGCCCCCAGGCAACAGCCTGAAGCTGCCCCCTACTCTCGCGGTATTACAAAGGCCCCGCCTCCGATTTGCCCAGCCAAGCTCCCGGTCACGCCCCCTGCTTCCCAGCCACGCCTTGTCGCGTCAAACTACGGCCCCGCCCCCGGGAGCCCCCGCCGAGGTTCTGGCTCCGGCGCCAGCTTCCGCGCCAACGCTCTGACCGCGCCCCTGGCTCCGGCAAAACTTTCTGGCTCCACCCCAAGCATTCCACTCCATTAATCTGGTCCCGCCCCCTGCCCCCCCACAACTTTTTGGCCCCGCCCCCGCCCTCGCGTCTGCCTCGCAAGTCGGGGCCGACGATCTGGACCCACTTCAAGCTCAAGCAAAACTTTCTGGCCCCGCCCCCAGCACGTTCGGCCAAAGTCCCGGCCCCGCCCCTAGCTCGCCGGGCAATATTTTGGCTCCGCCCCCAGCCCGCACACAACTTTTTCAGCCCCACCCCATCTGCCCACCCACGCCCCGGCCCCGCCCACAGCCTGGCCCGCCCGGGTCCTGCCCACCCGCCGACGTCCCGCCCCACCAGGGCCCCTCTAGCTTCCCATGTGGGCGTCCTGTCCCCGCCCCCCGCAGAGTACTCTGACCCCGCCCCCGCGGGCTGCTCGCTGCCCCGCCCGCACCCGCTCCCGCTCCCCCCACGTGGGGCGCCAGGCCCCGCCCTCTTCGGGCGCGCTCCCGGCCCCCTCCCCCGGTCACCTGTCCCGGAGACCCCGCGGCGTCCGCGACTCCGGCTCCGTCGGCCTCTGCGTCCGCAGCTCCCGGGCCGCGCGCGTCACTTCCCGCGCGCACCACGTGAAGAGGGGAACTAAAGAGGGTCACTTCCGGTCCTGCCGGCCCGTTTCCGGGAGGCTTAAAGGCGCCGCGCCCCCGCGGGTGCAGGCGGGCGTGTGTATAGGTGGTCCTCAAGGGTATTCTGGAGGCTTGCTCAACTTCGTTTGGCCTAGATTACTTCCTTCCAGGGAAAGGAGACACCAGCCTTTCTCTGGCAGGCCTTTACCTGCTTTACCTGCTTCCTCTTTCCTGGTTCCAATAAATAGGTACCAGGCACGGGGCAATGACTCCTGGCAGCCTGACCTGCCAGGCTCGTGTGGGGGATTGGTGGAGAATCCCTCACCCCCCTGCCAGTGAAACCTCAGAGCTAGTTGTAGAAGCTTAAAATTTTCGATCGATAGAATCTTTGATTCATTCTCTAAATCTGCATTGAGTGCCAGGCTGGGGGAGGTGGGGTGCATGGGGAGGAGGGGAGTCAAGGCGATGAACAAGGCTGACCCCATCCCTTCCCTGGTGAGGGAAGGCACAAGTAAATGCGAAATAACAGGAACAGAAATGTGGGAGATACCTTGCAGAGGGGCCTCCGGGTAAGAGGTGGTGGCTGTCCAGGCAGAGCACACACAGCTGGTGCAAAGGCCCTGTGGCGAGTGAGCTTCCTGCATTCCAGGAACCGGAAGAAGCTCAGAGAGGGATCAGCTGGATTTTGTTAGAGGCCGGGGGTTACATTCATTAACCAAAAATTCGATGTAATGAACCTATCATTACAATTGATAAAAAGCACTGACAATTATAAGTGGGCAGACCGGATTCCCTGAGGTTGCTGGTAATTTTATCTTGTGATTTAAAACGGGAAAAAGTGGAAGTACCTGCTAATCCCTGGTCCCTTATAAGGTTACTGTTAACAGCTTTTCAAAGAGCTTTTCTACATTTACAACTGAATTTCTTATAACTCCCCAAATACCTGCCAAGTTCACTATATACTGCTTCAGTTCTTTATTCAGATGTTAGATCCACTCAGGGGCCTTCCTTGAAGCTGCCTGTTTGAAAATTGCAAAACCTCCCATCCCTTTTTTTATTCCCACTCTATTCTTCCATTTTACTGTTCACCCTCTGAACTACCCAATGTCTTACTTACTTCCCTTATTCTATGTCTCCTCCCCTGTATCGTCTCTTTTTATAACTTGCTACATCCCCAGTGCCTCCAACAGGGCCTTGTATGTTAATAAGCTCTCCAAAAAAAAAAAAAAAAAAAAGTTTACAAATGGGTCAATCTTTATTATTACTATTTTTTCCCTTCTTATGAAGCAAAAAGAAAAAGCATATATGCTGCACTGAGATCATATATCTTTATTTTAACAATGGACGGTTGACAACCTTTAAAACTGCTGTGTGATGATATTCCCTCCTAGAGATGGGCCATAATTCGCCCTACCTGGTCTCATGGTTGTTTAAGTTGTTTTCAGACCGGGGAGATGGCCAGCAATGCTGCACTGAAGTTCTCTAGGCACACATCTTTGTAAGTACATGACCTGTAATCTTGCTCAAAAAGGACTCAGAATATCATGATTAAGACTACAGACTCTGGGCTCGGCACGCGCTCGGCGCCCGGCGGCGGAGGCCCAGGGAGGCGGGCTGGGTCCCAGCGGCGGGGCCCGCGAGCCTCAGCGGGTCGGGGGACGGCGGTGCTCCTCGTCTGAGGGGCTCCAGTCCGACAGCGGCGGAGGCGCCCGCGGCCCCTAAGCGAACGGAGGACCAAGCCGGAAGGCGGCAGCGCGGCTGCGCCCGGAGTAAGACAAAAGAATGAAAGAAGTAGATAATCTCGAAAGTATAAAAGAAGAATGGGTTTGTGAAACAGGATCTGACAACCAACCTCTTAGTGATGATCAACAAAGAAATTGTGAATATTTTGTTGACAGCCTTTTTGAGGAAGCTGAAAAGGTTGGTGCCAAATGCACTGAACAGAAGAAACAGGTCGATGTAAGTATAAAATTATGGAAAAATGGATTCACAGTCAATGATAATTTCAGAAGTTACTCTGATGGTGCAAGTCAGCGGTTTCTGAACTCCATCAAAAAAGGGGAATTACCTTTGGAATTACAGGGAATTTTTGATAAAGAGGAGGTGGATGTTAAAGTTGAAGACAAAAAAAATGAAGTATGTATGTCAACGAAGCCTGTGTTCCAGCCCTTCTCAGGACACGGTCACAGACTAGGAAGTGCCACACCAAAAATTGTTTCTAAGGCAAAGAGTACTGAAGTTGAGAATAAAAATAATTTGTCTGTTGTTCAACTAAACAATCTGGAACCCATCACTAATGTACAGATCTGGTTAGCCAATGGAAAAAGGATTGTCCAGAAATTTAACATTTCTCATAGGATAAGCCACATCAAAGACTTCATCGAAAAATACCAAGGATCTCAAAGAAGTCCTCCCTTTTCCCTGGCCACAGCTCTTCCTTTCCTCAAATTGCTAGA